TTGGAATTTGGACTGAAACGGAATATCAATAAAGAATGGGGGTCTATATAGTTTTACATATAAAAAATTTAGAATGGGATAAAACACCTGTGGGTGCGTGTGTGGACTTGGAGGCCCCATTTGGTTGGTGTAGATTATATTAAATAATAAAATATTATATATATATATATTTTAAAATGTTTTTTTAAATATATATTATAACATTAAAGTTTTGATTAATTAAGCGAATAATTGAAATTAGGATCCAATTAAAATAATTATTTTTGACTAAAGTAATATATTTGATTGAGTAATATTTACCTAAATGATCAAGTTTTAACTTTCAGTTATATCTATAATAGATTTGTAATTAATTAATTATATATGATAAATTGATAAATATTATTATATTAGTGCATTACTTATTATTGAATTAAATAATTAGAAATTTAATTAATTATAAAATTACATTATAGTATGACAACCTCATGAGTCATGACATATTAAAAAAGGTAAGTGTTTAATTAAAGATTCATAAAACATGTTAATATTAATATTTAATTTTATTCTTTTGTCACAAATTCACAATTAATGTTAATTTACTGCATTTCAATTTCCGTCGATTTTAGTTCCAGTTCTAGTTCTTTTTCCTGGGAACCAATCGGTTTTGGTTCCTTTTCCTGGGCTACTAAAGAAGACGAAATATGAAAAAAAAAAATTAAAAATGGATGATCTTACATAAAAAAAAAAAAAAATCAATTTAAAATGGAATGATATTATATTTCATGTTAAGTAATCGAAAATGAAATGATTTAATTTTTGGCTTTGCCCATCGAAAATTAAAAATAAATTTATGTTTGGGTTTGCCTGGACTCGAGACCTTTAGTGTGACAGACTGAACAACACCACTGAACCTTAATATTTACCATTGCCGGCAATATTTTTTATCATCACCAATTTCATTTTCATATAAACTAAAATTATCCAGCAGAAATAGAATCTTGGCATTATTGATTTTTGCATAAAGATACTTTCAGAGATTGTAATTTAAACTTGATTTGGTTGAGGTGCGCCAGGCCCTTGCAGTAGTGCAACGCATGGGCAACGCTTAAGGAACCCAGTAGCAAGCTACTGTTGTGGATCCTCCCCCTGAAAAGATAAATTTAATATCATGTGGGACAATGTCCCACGTATCAGATATTAAACTGATAAGAACAGATACTACACTTGATCTTAGCCAAAAGGCCGAGAAAGGTATGCTTTGTTCTGTGGCTCAATTGTTCTTTTATAGCTCTACTCTGCATTGTGTCTTCTCTTGTTTCATCAATGTGGGAGAAACCAGGCCTGACATCGCTGCCTTTATTTATGCCAATTTATACGGTATTTTTTTGATTTGTTATTCTACTTATTTAGCAATAATAAAAAAGCTGTTTTTCATTAATTACATACTGAAGAACTAGTAGCTGATTTTCTGCTATCAGTAGAGTGACTCTGATTTCTCTCACCAGAACTCCTTTAAGGAATTTTGTTTAGGCAGCACTGCTGAACTGGACTTGAACTTTCTAGTTATTGCTAACCAAACAAATTTCGGATTGCAAAAAGTACACATCAAATGACATGATAAATATTGGCATGGTTAAGGCATTACACAAATGATCCTTCAATAATCTGAAACAGAACCAGTGTATGTTTTTGCAGTTCCATCACCTCTAAAACCAAATCAAGGTTGTGTTACATTCACAGTCTTGCTGCACTTAAAAATTAAGCAAGGTTTTATTAATATAAAGTAATTTTCACCATAATTGTCAAATCGTGTATCGTATTGTGTATTGAAAACCTAATTTTTCGAATTGTGTATCGTATCGTAGGATACATCATTTTAAAAATAATAAAAATTTTCTAAAAATTAATATCATCCTCAAGATTAATTAACAAATTTTGTGATATTATTAGCTTTAAATTATAGTACTACATAATTAAAATTAATCACAAAATTAAGAATTTATATCATTTCCTCTCAACCATTCATATTATTTTCAAGATCAATGTCAATATCTATATCTCCATTTATGTTATTATTATCATGCAAAATAGGCAACATATATTTTTTTTTTTTGGTAACTGGGGTGTTCTAATCAGCTTACGCGCATCTCAACTAATCACTATGGTCCATTGAATACCCTACAAACCCAATGAATAGGTAAGACAATTATGCATTGAGATAGGTGGCCCTAAGGTTTGAACCCAAAAAGTTAAGGAAGGGAGCACACCTCCTTGACCACTAGGCCAACATCTTGGAGTTAATGGGTAACACATCTTCCTCTTCACTTTTTCCATGCAAAAAGGGTAGATTTGGGCAAGTTTTAATGAACTGAGTTAGGTGACTTAGATCCGACCTGAAATTTTTTTTGGACCTTAAACCCAAATTAATAAAATCATATCGCGATACTTATTAAAAGTTGTATCGTTGACAACTTATATCTTACTATACGTATATTATAAAATACTAATAACCATAATTTTCACGACTAAATTTGATAGGGAGCTGCACTCAAGAGAGAACAACCCCTCCAAAAATAGAGGTATGCCGTTTTAGAGTGGCGAGCACACGGTATTCTTTAGTAAAAGGCGAAAGAATAGTTCGCTTTGTGCTCATCACGCGGCTCCGTGCTTAGAATAAGGAATTTACTGCATCTTATATATCTAAGTTATGGGTCAGGATTCTACGTTCTAGGCCATGTGGGATTTGAACCATATCTACATATCTTGATTCTCCCTTAAGCTCATTGACTAATGACCATGCCAAGCAGCTGCCATAAAATGCACTAACATAAAATCAGAAATCTTAACTCACTAACATAAAATGCACTTCCTGGGAGGGTAAAAAACAGAATGAGAATGCTATAAAAATGCTCTCGCTAAAGTCAAAAACAGAGTAAGAATTTATGAAAATGCTCTTGCTGGGACAGTCATAAACAGAGGAGAACGTTATGAAAATACTCTTTCTGGGAGAGTCATAAACAGAGGAGAATGTTAGTGAAGATGGTCCAGACACATCTACCGCAAGAAAACTTATTAGTTCTGCAATCAAGTGTATAAACTAGTAAAAGCATGGCATTTTTAACAAACAGTTTAGATACTCCACTTTTATTTTGTGGTCAAGCACAATAAAACATTGTAGCTCTTTGTTTGTGATGCATGTGGACAATTGCTCTGGAAAGATGACCTCCTGTTAAAGTAATCATATATGAGTAGCCTAATGTTAAAAGCATTCAACAGGTGAACCTTCTTCAGTAAATCTAAAACAGAGCATGTGTGGAGTTCCATCACCAAGTAAATCAAAGTTGTGTAAAAATCAGGCGTGACCATAACCCACGTAAACTAAGTAAGTTTCTGGTTCACAAAGCAATTTTCATTACAAGAACACTAAACTAGATTTGTTAAGGAGTTGCACTCAAAGAGTACAACCCCTCCAAAAATAGAGGTATGCCGCTTGAAGTGGCGAGCACACGGTATTCTTTAGTAAAAGGCTAAAGAATAGTTCGCTTTGTGCTCACCACACGGCTCCATGCTTTTTATAATCAGTTACTGCGGTTTATATATTTACGTTGTGGATTGAAGGTTTTATCTTTTCTAGTTCATGTTAGACTACGTGCATCTCTCTCTTTCAGTTAGTAAGGGCATGACATAACTCTCTTCTGCTGGGCTGATGAATCAGAGTCTCTTTAATATTCATTCACTTCTATGACCTTGAGTAGGAGCAAACACAATGCCCATGAATATTTTTTATTACCTTAAGAAGACAGAATTCTCATTGTATTAAACCGTGCTTTCTGGTCTACATTGCCTCTTCCCCCTTGTAGCCAACGTGGGATACTCTTTGCCTGACATCGCTTTTGCTGTTCATACTGTTAGTCAATTCATTTCTGCTCCACGCTCCACCCATTATACTGCTATCCTACGGATTCTGCGATACATTAAAGACACTCTTTTCATGAGTCTCTCTTTTTCCGCTCACTCCTCACTACGGTTGCATGTTTACTCTTATGCTGATTGGGCAGGGGATCTTACTGATCGATGCTCCACCACTGAGTATTAACACTACAAGAAAACTGAAATTTTGCAACCAATTTTTTAGCAACTAACCAGAATTAGTTGCAAAAAGATTACATTTACCAACTAAATTGACATTAGTCCAGCAAAGAGGATTAAAATTTTGGAGCCCACATGTTCCAACATTTGGCATCTAAAGTTAATTTTTTACGACTATTTTGTTAGTCATAGAACCGGTTGCTTTAGTGATTAATAAATTTAGTTACAATTTTTTTTGGGTGATTTTTCCCTCCAAAATTTGATAATTTGCATTTAAAATATAGCTTTTGCATCTAAATTTTTGGTTACAAAAAACAATTTTTTGCAACTACTAATTTAGTTGCTAAATTAGTTGCGAATAATTAGGAATTTATTAGCCACTATTATGATTAGTTGTAGAAAAATAAAATTACCAAAATATTCCATATTTGGACAGTAATTACAAGGGCCCCAAAGTATATACAGCAACTAAATTTGATTTAGTTGCTAATTTAACTTTAAAAATTCATATTCCCCCCAAAATTATTTGTTCCCGCCAAACCTCAATTATGGGCAACTAACACTAATTCTTTACTGACTAAATTTTTAGTTGCAAATTGACTTATTTCCATAATAGAATTATATTTCAAAATTAAATAACTAATTAGAACCCTTACTTTTTTAAGTTATTTATAGAATACCCTATCCTATATAAAGCAAGCATTTTTTGCAATTTCATCTCTTCTCCACGCATGTTTGCCGTCGCTGTTGCCTGAATTTTCGAACTGTAGAACCTAACTTCATCTTTTCCCCAAGCATCTTCATCTCTTCGATCTGACGTGCCTTCATCTTAATCGCTGTTGCCCGAATTTCCGNTCCCATCGGAGAAAACATATTTAATTCCATTTCTTTCATCTTTCACATCAGGAATACTTTCGGTGTCCTTCCTGTCAACATGCACAGCTACCCTGGATGGATGCACTCAAAGACTGACCAAGTCTGGCTGCATATTCTGCCACGTTCTTCATCTTACGAAAATCACCCAAGCTCTCTCTAATATCTGCTGCAGTAAGCCCAGGTCTAGATGCAAACATCCATAAAGTATTCTCTCTTACTTGACTATTTGAGAAAGCAAGAGTTTCAAACTTCTTGTCTCCTATGACTATGCCATATCGGAGAATTGACAGTATCCTTTGATATATTCCTGTACGCCTTTCTTCTGATTTCCTAGGAGATAAAACTGTTGAAAACAATTTACCCATATCCTCATCAACGAAAGAAACACGAAGAAAATTATCAATGTCATCAGAATAACTGCGTAAGACACGATTGGAGAGACTAACTTCTGGACCATAAAAGTATATTTTGGTGGGGGTTACCAAAACCTTGTGCACGTATACTAACCCATCATCCAAGGCAACGGTAGGCGATCCAAGAACTGGCTTAGACTTAGAGTAGTTTCTGTATTGATCTTTGAGCCAACTTACCGGGTCATAGCAGCATTCTCTTAGATTTAACAGCTTCTCCAAAGCATGTTCTATGAATGCTATATCTATTCCGCTAACGAAGCGAAAGAACTTGACATCAAGTGCTGGCCCGGGAATACAACCATGCTGAATCAAAGAATTGATTTTGAACAAGATCCTAAATGGCAAGTCAATAACTTGGGGTGGACTTAAAATCGGGACAATATCAGAATTGCAGGAGAAAGTAGAACCTTCCTGTAGACTGAACTTCCCTGGACTTTCCTTGTAGAAAAAGAAATCTTTCAGAACTTTTGGAACATGGCCCCTCCCTGGAAGCTCCAAACACATAGCAGATGATTGTCCAATGCAGGAGGATGGAGTAAAATCAATTGTCCGGTCCCAGTAGATATGTCTCTCATAAATAAGTGGTGAACCATATAACTAAAAAAAAAAACAGAGACATGGAAATTGGTTTACTAATTAAAAGAAAGACATTGCTAATTTAATGCAAAGAAAACAAGTTTTGACATATAACATCCAAAAGAAGCGAAGAAAATAGAGACATGACGGAACAAAATTTTACATTTAAGTGTACCAGGTGACATTTTAATTACAGTAACTATCAGAAGATAAGTAGAGTTATTTTAGAAGAAAGCCATGTTCAGAAAGTCTCACAAAGGTTTATGTGTGCAATGGACATGGTGAACATTAAGGTAGCTCTACTCATATCTTATCATATGCTAAAACAAATAATCACAATAATAAGTTTTAGATAGCAAACCTGGATGACAAGAAATTTCATAGATTGACCACGAGGGCGTTTTAGCTCAATCTGCAAAATTGTCTCGTAAGAAACCTCGAGCTTATAATTCACAGAATCATATGATAGCAAGAAGCTAAAATTTCTGAGATCCCAGTCAAATTTTACAGAAACATTTTTCTGTGACCAGAGCAAAAAAAACTTCTCCTCTGAAATTTGGCAGCCAAAGTTCAACGTTGCATTGTCAATCCTGTGCTGAGGTAAATTGCTATCACGGTCCAAATACCAAGCTTGCAGATAAGAATTCTCATAACATATAACTCTTTTATCAGCCTTAAAGATGATAAACTCTGCGGCTTCCATGGTTGTGAATTCAACTATGGCATATGCCCTTGAACCTTTATTTTGCCCAACTTCTACTACATCAGAGACTGTTCCTTTACCCGTAAATCTCTCCACAAATTCCTTCACTTCTTTTGCAGGCTTAAAGGAAGCAAACCCAAACAATTTGATTGTCTAATCCATTTCGTCGAAACAATTTCAACTGCAGTTCCATATCCAAAACAAAAGTTAGCAACTCTAATAAAGTCATTCTAGGCATATATATTACACATGAACAATGTTGAATCCAAAATGAACTTTCTGAAGCCATATCCTAGTAGTTGCTTTCTTATAAGCCATCAAAGTCCTAGGAACTACATGTCATCCACTTCATTTCCACATTTATGTATAAACTACCACTTAAAAACCTTGTCAATTTGAGCTAATTGTAGAAAAAAGAATATCATTTCTTGTCTGTAGGTTTTATCTAAAACAACATGATAAAACCATTCCCGAGTTTCATATAACCAGTTTTCCAAAGCAATGTTGGAAAAATGGCTCATTTAGCAAATGACATGGGGGTAGAAGTGATAATGGAAAAAGGTTTAAGGACTTATATGTAATAGGCCAAAATGTTAGTTTGTCCCACATTGCTTGGGAATGAAAAGTGAGAAACTTTTGGAGCCTATATATAAGGACCTAAATCATTGTTATTTGTATCCCAAGATGTAATTCCATTATACTTCTTTTGTTTAGGGTTCTTTTTTTAAGGACCATTTAGTTTGCAAGTTTTGTTGTATCTCCCATTTGTTTTGGGTATTTGTTGTATTGCCCAAAAGTTTGTAATATTGTTTAGAGATAGTGGAGTTTTCTTTTGCAGAGCACAAGGACGTAGGTTTTAATACCGAACCTCGTTAATTCCTGGTATTCTTTATTTTTACATTTAATTTTGGCAATTTATTTATGCTTTACTACTTGTTATTATTATATTCAATAAGCTAGCGTTAGAGTTTATGTTTTCATTGCATAACAAGCAATTCATCTATCCCGCACCATACAAAAAGGAACTAACAGAATGATTTAACAAGGTAGAGAAATGAACAAGACTCAGAAGAACTCTTAATCACAAAAAAAAAAAAAAAAAAGGCATAAAATTCACTATAAACTAGCTCATACATTCAACAAAGTAATTATCTGTGAAGTAAAGAAATTAATGAAAGAAAGAGATAGAATTTAAGAAGAGATTTATTTACGAGTGCTTGCAGAAATATCAATAATCAATGTACACTCCCTTGCTTTATGAGAATCAAATGGAAAATCAAGTAAGGTATATGTATAGAACAAAAAAGTAAACACTATTGCTAACAAAATGTATGTCTATATATTTCCTTCTCTTACAAGAGTGACCTGAAACAAACTGAGAGTAGAAGGAAATTTTCCTTTTAGATGACATGGGCATATTGTATATGACAAGTTGGGTCCCATGTGACTGACACGTTTCAACATCTTATTGACTAATAATAGACCTTTCCTATGAAGTTGTTAATGTAATTACAAATATTTTATATACTGAATGTGGAAAAAATTGCATGAATGAATGATTAACTACGCGGTTTTGAATACTTTAAACGAAAGTGAAGGAAAGAAAGAAGTTATTCCAAATATATGGAAAAGAGAGACAGGCATTGCTGGTTGAAAAAGCGATACCCCACAAACAAATGAAGACCCTTCCCCGTGCTATAGAAGGGAAGAAGAGTGATGCGTGTTTCTCAAGTAAACCATCATCATATTCATGCCAACGTCTTCCAATGCTATATCTAGTTGAAAAATGTTTCAATCAAAGTATGAGTAATAAAGACAAATTATTTTGGTTTAAAGAAGATATTGTTAATGTTTAATCACATCATATGTGTTCTAATAGTCATATAGTGTCATGGCTGTATTATTCTTTTGGTATCACGAGTTAGAGTCATGCTATAGTCATCGAAAATAATGCACCGAATGACGTGACACAATCCTGACCGTCGATTAATATTAATTTATAATTAATCGATGGTCAGTATTACGCTACATCATTCGATGCATGAATTCGATGTACTACTTTCAATGACTGTATTATTTTCCCACAAGTTAATGTATGTATCCAAGTTATTCATACAATTTCTAATTACCAACCACATTTTATGTAAAAATAGATGAAAGAAAAAAAATAATCATATATTCAAGAAAGTATTATAGATATGATGTGATATGCTCTTTGGTATTTTAATTTTTTTCTAAATTTAATGGAAAAGAAATTGATAAAAACATAAAATTAAAATCCCTAAATTCTATTCTTCATCTTCAATTCCAATCTTCAGTTCTTGATCTTCACTCCCTTGAATCTTCTAATCTTCGATCTGGATTATAGTTCGCTCTGCCTCTATGTCATCGATCGTGTGGTCCCTCTTCACCCATTCAACCTTTATCTCCTCTTTGTGACAGCTCTCCTAGTTTGTGGTGGGTTTTGTTGTGGCAAATGTGGTGTTTTGTTGTGGATTAGTATTTTTCATGGTGGTTTGTCCGACATTCGGTTGAGGGTTTAGGAATCGCAAGGGTGTGTTTACTGAATTTCAAACTTGCAATAATTGATACATAATTTCTCATAAGTATGTCTATTAAGTTTCATGCTAATGTTACCTGTCCGACCGACTAGTCAAACCATCCAACCTGGGGACTAGCCCATTGATCAGGTCAAGGCTCAGTTTGGATAAAAACACAACATAGTACTAGGCTTAAACTCTCATTAGGAAAATAAATGTCATTAATTATGTACAAATTACGATTTAGCCTACATGACTAAGTTAGTAAGACTCATTTTACAAGCTTGTCAAGACTTCCAATCATAAACAGAAATAGGAAGGAAATTATGAAGGTGTGAATAACACAGGCATTATATAAGAAGTAAGAACCCAGATACTTATAACACAGATTAAAGTATCAAGTTATCGTTTAAGGTCGACATATTTCATGTTTTATAATTCTAATTAAAAAGCTCAGATGTTCTCTTTCATTTGTTCATAGAGCCGTATATGCACATATATTTAGTCAATTCTTAGCGCGTTTCATGCATGTACGCTAATTTGGCGCATCTTGATTGACCAAATATACATAAATATTGCATAGAAGTTCTTTTCGACTTGAATTTTCTAACAAAACCTCCATACAATTGATGGAGATATGAGCTTATGAACCAAACCTGACATGATATGAACACGTTTGAATCTTATAATAATGACAAACAATTAACAGTAATAACAGAAAAGCTAGCCAACACAACCTGTTAATAATCAAGAATATCTACTACAATCCTTCCCTACATTAACGAATTCTCCCAATTTCCAAGTATTTAACAATCAAATTAAGGAAATAAAGGAGTTAATGAAGAGACTCACAGTACAAGAGTGAGCAGAGATAGATCAGTTAGCTGATCAAACACATAAACAAGAGTCAAAGAAGGGAGAGATAGTATTGGTTTTCACAGTAACATAACATTTGACATGGACATAATGTAATTGGGGGCCAGCTAAGTTGTCTTTTTAACACCAAAACTTCTATCAGAAGTAATATGAGCTTTGTACTGTGTGACTCTCTGAGAATCTTGATTTTATTTAGTTTTATGTGAAGTACTGTAAGATTCTTCAAAGACTTTCATTTGGTGACTTGGACTGATCCACGCTACTACAAAAACTTTTTTTTCAGTTTTTAAACTCTCATTGTAACCCTTATCAAGAAATGATCTTTTAACGGATTCTTAACAGTTCAAAAACCATCAAAGATTTAGCCAAATTTTAACCAAATACTTGATAGTTTTCAAACTTTCAAGGATTTGGTTTTATTTTTCAAATTTTAACCAAATTCTTGAGAGTCTTAAAATTGTCAAGAATTTTTTTTTTTTTTTTTTTTTCCTAATTATTACTTAAATTATGGAATAGTGCAACGAAATTATTCATAATATTTATCCTTCCAACAACAATTATCACAATTCAACAATAAATTTAAACATTCAACAATTTGTCAATTAATTTATTGAATGGTACATATAATACTTTACTCTTATTAAGCAAAATTGAAAGTTTTAAAATATAGCAAAAACAACTATTAGACCATCTCCAACCCATTGCACCAATTTGGTGCAAAATTGCACCAAATTGGTGCAAATTTTGGTGCAAAACACTATTCTATCTCCAACCCACAACACCAAATATTACACCAAAAAGAATATTCCTTAAAATATTCCTTAGAATATTCTTTAGAATATTCTTTTTTTTTCTTTTATTGTAATAATCAACAATTAATCTATTTCACTCATTATTTTTATATATATTAATTAAATATTGGGAATGATATTTTTATTAAATAATAATTATTTTGAAAATTATACTAATTTAATAGAATTAAACATTTATTTAATCAAATAAACATTACATTTAATATAGAAAAACATTATAGAAAAACATTACATCTAATATAAAATGATAAAAAAAAAAAAAAAAACAACAACAACACAAAGGTAAAATTCCATATTGATAGTAATTTTAGTTTGATGATCTTACTGGATCCGGAACTAATCTACCGGAATACTAAATTGTTATTTTAGTTTATGTTGTATTTTCTTTTAATTTTAGTGTTTTTAAATTAGTGTTAATTTTTATTTTGAGTTATTGTAGTTTAATATTTGCATTGAATAAAATTCTATTTTTAATTTTTCATCATTTTTTAAATTATATCATTATTATAAATTTATTATTATAAAGAATAATCAAATTAAATTAAATACAAATACTCAAATTTGGTGTGATTTTGGATGTAAAATTTAATACTCAAATTAACTTAACAAAATTAAAAAACAAAAACAAAAAAACCAAAATTAAAAAAAAATATATATATTTTTTTTGTGCTACAGTGTTGCGCCATTTTGGCGCAGTGCTACAGTGCTGCGCCAATTTTGGCGCAGCACTGTAGCACTACGCCAAAATGGCGCAGTGTTTGGCGTGGGTTGGAGTACCAACCCACGCCAATTTGGTGTTTTTTGCGCCATTTTGGCGTGGGTTGGAGATGCCCTTAAAGATGAAAAGTGGATAAATTCAGTATACATACAGAGACTTGCTCAATAATGCCTGTTGTACACCCTCACCAGAAACATCTCTACTAATACTTAAGCTCTTAGCTTAAAAAAGAACTTAAATATTTAGGGGTGCGTTTGGTTTATTATTTTGGATTGGATTTTAGAGACAGTATTGGATAATTGAATATGGGAGTATTACGAGGTAAAATTTAAAAATTTATAAAAAAACCCCATAAGTTTGCTAATTTAATAAATATCCTAATATATAAAAATATGTAAAATGACAAAAAGACCCCCACCACCTGCAGTGCCAGATTCTGGCCACCACCGCAGGAATCTGGTCGGAAAATTGCATAACGACACATACCGGCCGAATCTGGCCGGTATGGCGTCGCTATGGCCTTTTCCGGCCAGATCCACGGATCTGACCGGAAAAGGCCAAATCTACGGCCATATGTGGCCGTCGACGGCCGAAAAAAGGCCAAAGAAGGCCATCTTTGGCCGTCATTGTCGGTCAACGATGGCCAAGATTTGGCCGTCGTTGACCGTCAACAAAGGCCATTTCTTTGGCCGTCACTGACAGCCAGATCTAGCTTTTTCCAGCCAGATCCATTGTGGATCTGGCTGGAAAAGGTTAGATTGGTGAATTACCGACCAGTTCTGGTCGGTAATTCACAGTTGTGCCAGATTCCGGCTACCACCGATGATGGTTGCCGAAATCTGGCAAGTATGGGTCACGAGGGTGTTTTTATTAATTTTTAAACTTTTTTTCAAGAGGTATTTAATGAAATTAATAACCTTGTGGGGTCTAAAAATAAGGTAATATTCCTAGAATAATGTGCTAAACATTATTTGGAGAATAGAATGAGAAATATGGGCAAAAATAATAAACCAAACGCACCCTAGGAAACCTTGGGTCAAAAAGAAATCTACAAAACGATAAAATATCACTCAGGCAAATTGTAAAGGACCTTCTTAGTTATTTTATCAACTTCATCAATATACACGATCCCTTGTTGAGCTACTTAAACATTGAATTCAGATGCATACATGCCAAAGTAGAAAATCACTAGCAAATGAGGTCACCAATAACTAAGAGGTCAAATAGAAGCAAAAAGAATGAGAAATCACACACAAAGTTTAAAAATGGTCGCTAGCGTTATAAAGTCAAACTTGATTGACTAAATAAAGCACTTATTTCACAAAGAAAGCATATTGCCAAATCTACATTTAACCAATGCAGCCACGTCTTATTTATATAAATTTAATCCATCAAAATACTAACGCCAAAGCAAGAATGAGATATGCGAATAATAAGTATAAAATGTCAAAAAACCCAACAGCAAGTATTATCCTATAAAGTATTTGTTTGACTTTGATGGGGTTCCTACTTTCCACCCACATATGGAAGTCCTTTTCGAGAATCAGAAGGTATATCTTCTTGTAATCCAAGTATAATCTCTGTCATTGCTTGCACAACTTTGTGATCCTCACTGTAGCTTTTGAACAAAATATAACAGTAAAACAAATCAAACAATAAACAAAGAAAATAACACGAGCGATTTATCCTGGTTCACCCAATGTAGGCTACGTCCAGCTATCAATATTATTGCAATATGTCTCACCTCTCTCGTTTACAATAAATGAATTGCCCTATGATTTGTTATCACTGTCATAACAAGAGAAAAGTATGTTTATATATTAGGTTTAAGAGACTAAACCTAGTTTTACAAGGATTCCTATTCCTAAGTCCAACCCAATAAGAAATTAGTAACTTAAAAGAAATCTTACAGCGGTTATACATGGAAAAGCCCAAAACCGTCTACGGGCTCGGGACCCGCCCGCTCACCGGGGAGCGGGGCACCCGTCCGTTGACCGGGCAGCGGGACCCTCGAATGCGTCTGCGTTACCCAATAATGCTGAAGTATTCGACAACTCCAACAACTTTCATAACACCGACCCCATCTTGGATCTCTACAAACCTATGAAAAAGAAGTGACATAAATTACACAGTCCATACATCCAACTTAATAATGCAGTGATGAAATCATCTGATTTTAATCAACTGATGTGTAGCATATCTTTTACCGCAATGCAAGTCGCAAAAACATAAATGGAGAGTGGAGGGTAAATGATGGAATGGAATGATTTAGAAGTTTTTGTTACAGTGGCTCCGTGCATTTGGAGAAAGTTTTAGGATGTAGTGGAGACAGACACCTTTTATTCCTACAACGTTTATTTCTAGCCGAAACTGATAATTCTTCAGTTAGTTTCGACCCTAATTTTACGATTATTGGTAAAATTGTCACCACCACCAAAGGGAGTGTCCCATTTGAAACGGTGTTGAAGGAGGAGCCGGTGAATTGGGGGAAGAAGAAGAAGAGGGGAAGTGGGGCGGAAAACTTTTGATGGGTGAGAAACTTTTGACTTTTAGATTTTAACTTTTGATGGGTGGGAAACTTTTGACGAAATTTTTAATTTTTGTTGGTCTAGAAAAAATTTCTTAAAATTTATTTTGACCGATAATTATCAAGAATCATCTAAAACAATTAAGGGTTATAGTTTATAAATTAGACATTTTTTTAAAACAATTAAGAAAGTCTATCAACTTATTTTCCTAGTTACTAAATACGGGTACGGCAAAAAAAGGGCACGGGAATTTTACGGGTATAATACGGCAAACGGTGAAAAATACGTTTATAAAAATTCGGCCATAAAATTCGGATATAGGAAAAATACGGTACGGGTATATACGGGTTTAATACGGTGCATTGTCAATAATACGTTTTGAAAAATACGGCAATATTAATCTTAGTTTTAACACTTTTATGGACTACCTGGTTAAAATCAATATAACATTTCAAATGCAAAGTATTCAATTAACCAATAACACAAATACACAATATATAAATATAACTGATATTCAAATTATAGTCTCCAGACTCAAACACAATATTTAGCCAAGATTCAACTGTAGTGTCAAATCAAATACAGTCATAACAAAACCAATTGTTTACAAAAATTACAAATACACCATGCAGTCAGTTTACAAAAATTACAAATGTACCATGTAAAACTATATATTTTATTAAACACAGTCTCTTCTCTTTCATTTTCTCGTTCTTTTCAAAACTTTCTCTCTCTTTCTTCTGTAAGTTTCTTCTCTTCTTTCTCTTTGTTTTCTCCACCTTCTCTTCACTTCCTTCTTAAACCTTCGTCTCTTTTGTATAAACTTATGTCTATTTTGTTTCTCTTCCCTTCTCTTCTCTCCCTCTTCTTCTGTTTCTTCTATTCTCCCTCTGCATTTCTTGTCGACCGATGACTGACCACTGTTGGCCACTGCGTGTGGCCAAGATCTGCGCCCCCTCACACCGTTCTTGGGTTTTGTGTTTTGTGCTTGTGATTGGTTCACATGATTGGGTCCGCCAATGTCCTCAGCCTCGCCGCTCTGTTGCCCGAGCAACTATCTTATGGAAATTTGTTTGTTGGAATCAGGAGTTCATAGCTTGTTTGTTGGAGTTGATTGTTGTGTGTTGATTGTGGGAGTTGATTACTTGTGGAAATTTGTGAAGAATTGAGGAAGAAAAGCTGAAGAAGAACTGAGGAAGAAGAAGAACCGAACTGAGGAAGAAGAAGTGAAGAACTGAATAAGAACCAAAGAAGAGAGATCTGTTTTAATTTTTAGTAAAAAACCCACTAAAACGACGTCATTTTGGGGGTGAGATTTTGTTTTTTTTTTTTTTTTTTCAATAATTCGCGAATTATACAAGAAGCCTTATTATACGCGAATTATACGGCAGATTTTACAAAATATGTAACCAAAGAAGAAAGATCTGTTTTAATTTTAAATAAAAAAACCCACTAAAACGACATTATTTTGGGGGTGAGATTTTTTTTTTTTTTTTCAATAATTCGCGAATTATACGGGAAGCTTTATTATACGCAAATTATATGACAGATTTTACAAAATACGTATACATGCATTTTATACACGTTTTTACTAACTAGGCTTATTTTATCAAGGAACAGGGTTTTGTAGTCGTGCCAGTGTGACCGTCTCTATAGTTTATTACACTAAGCATTAATTTATTGATACAAATTGACAATAGGAATCAATGAGAGGAAATAATTATTTCTCAGATATGAGGCACTTGTACTAGAAAAGCTTTAGAAAAATCAAACCTGGCTTAGTAATAAAAGATGTTTGAATTATTAAATGAAAATTGTCTCTATTTTACCACAAGTTTTCCAACGTCTTGACTTCAAAGCCACCCTCCTCAATTTCAGAATCAATTTAGAAAGTAATTTTTTAAACAAATCTTATTTAAAAAAAAAAAAAAAACAAATCCAGGAGATCACACAACAAACCGGACATTTATTTTATTATATTGAACTGAATTACATGTTTCTAGTACTGATCACAACACACTTTGAAAATACACATATATTACAACAATACACTTCTACCACAGGGTAAAGAAACTAAAGTTGCTATTACACAAGCAGCTTAATTAGATAGGAACAAGCATATGCAGATACTTGGGTGCTGAACTCCATTCAAATCGCTCCACCAACTACAAGCGCAAGCCATTACTGAAATAACGTCCATCACTTGCTCTTAGTGGCTTCTTTTTTTCTTCTTGATTTCAATGAGGGTGTCATGAATACACCATGGAAAGCTGAGAAAATGCTCACGTGTAATTCCTCCAATGCAAAGACCCCAATAACTGTGATGGTATGTGACAAAATACCATGCTGAAGCCTTTGCATATACATCATTAGCATCAGAATTACTAGAACCTGACTCACTTGTCTTGTTGAACCAGGCCCTGGCTTCCTTTCTTATCGACCTTGCAGCAGAAGTAATTGCATCCAGATCTCTTCTCTTATCAAAACATTTTGCCATTTTTATTATGTATCCACTGACTATTTCAGCCTCGGTTTCGATTCCATAATGCTTCATCAGGTTACTCAACCTACTATCATACTCGCACTTGTAATAGAAAGCTTCACTGACATATTTCGAGTAACCATCTACTAACATATCAGAATCAAAAGACCTCGTTGCTACTTCCTTTGTGAAGGATTTGATATTTGCTGTAAGTGGTGGAATGCCTTTTACCTCTCGATACAGCCTTCCCATCACACGCTTTGATTGATAGGTCATATGGTCAGGCTTATCCATGAAGTCAGGATATTTCTTGACACGTAGTTGACCTGGTAATTGGGCTGCCACACCTGTTTTAGGAAAATCCACAGCAATAGAGGATAGCTGGGCGAGCTGAAGACATTGCGTACTCCTTGCCTTCATAGGTTCTGTATCTGCAAAGACAACATGGGCATGACTGATTATGCCCAACTTGTCATTGACAATAAAGTCAATGAAGTACTCCTCAACATCCTGCAACATAACAATATATATGTTAAAGCAAAGGAAAAGACCACAACAGATTGCAGCATTGATCAAACACCACTTATAGTAAATTTCAAATCTGATGCATACTGAAATAGAATTCAAGGTCAATCTCATGAAATGTTTCTTAGGAATATCATAATTACCAATCATAGACTCCGTGTGAAGCTATTGAGCTAAAGATCCAGCAATAACAGATTTAGCTGAATTATATACTTTCATTGTATTACAGAACACTTAATGAGAAAATGTCAAGACAGCAGCCAAGAGAAACAAAGTGTACATCACTAGTGCTTGCTAGAAACAGCGAAAATTTAATCTAACAAATCAAATGGCGAGGACAAGATGATATACGTTTCGATGCAATTTCATATGAAAATTAGCAGCGCAAAACATCAGTGACAGAAAAAATATTTGAATTTCGTAGGACTTATTGTTGTGATACCTATCTAATTGTAGTGTACTTGTGGAAATTAAAATCAAATTAAACAACTAGAAGTAAGAGTTGATTCAAGAATGTGAGTAAATAAGTCTTAACATGCATGATGCTAAAAGATTTGAGCAATACCTCAATTGTAACATCACGATGCAAAACCTTAGGTGGTCCCGCGTTATAATCCATGGGAGGAAACTGACGAGGAGGAATGAGATCATTATCCCAACATACAAAATAATTGTCTCCATCGAGATCACTCCCTGAACATTCATCTGGATGGGGCCTAATCAATAATGAAACNGGTTTTGATTTGAAGGATGTGGTATGCTTTATAAATAAGCAAGTTAAGGAAAGTAACATAATTAAAGTATTTATAAAGTAACATAATTAAAGTATTTATTGTTTTCGGAAACGTATTTAGTTTATTAATTTAGTTGAGAGTCTTAAAAAGAAAAAAGGATAGGGGGCATGAATTTTGTTGGAGATTTGGTAGCCATAAATGGATGTAAGATTTGTTTTAAATTAATGCAAAATATTAATATATGGTTAAATAATAATAATAATAATAATATGAGAGATTTCAGTTTCCTTTTATGCAGTGCTTCTTATGGATTTGCTATCTATTCATTCATTAATTGTCAAAATTGAATGATATTATATTGATGGTATTACAATATTTTTTAATATTTTCTATTTCTTTTATCTTTAAATTAATTGTTGTTGGTAGTTATTAAATGTAAGAACTTCTTGTGATGTATGTATTGTCTTGCGATGCCAAAGAAGATGAAAAGTTGAAAAAAAAAATCAATTTAAAAGTGAATGATGTTATATTTCATGTTTTGTAAAGTCGAAAATAAAAATATAATTTAATTTTTAGCTTTGCTCAACTCGAACTAGACCTTTAGCAAAATAGATTGACATCGTAACCAGATACACCACAAAACATTGATATTCGTAGATTCATCAAATAACATAGAGATTTTTTTGATATTTCTAAAACTTTAAATAAGCTTATACATAAAACAGCTTTATTTAGTAATTCATCTTCATAAAACTGACTATGCAACCCACCCATGGGTAGCCCAACGATTAAGGGTGAGCATGGGTAATAGGTAGAACTAGAACGAGAATTGGAACCGGAATCGATACTGTACTAGTAGGTTCCGATTCCAATATTTTAGGATCAACATTGTACGGGTCCGGTTCCGCTGGAACTAAAACCAAAATTAAAACCGAAACCGAAACCGAAACTAATGGCGAGTACTTGGGATGGAACTTGCTTGGAACCGATGACGAGTACCCGATATGGAACTTGCTTGGAACCAAAGGTGGGTACCCGAGCTAGAACCTGCTTGGAACTTGGACAAAAACGAAATATCAATAGAGAATGGGGGGTCTAATAATTTTACATATAAAAAATTTAGAATGGGATAAAACTCGTGTGGGTGCGTGTGTGGACTTGGAGGGCCCCATTTGATTGGTGTAGATTATATTAAATAATAAAATATTATATATATATATTTTAAAATTTTTTTTAAATATATATTATAATATTGAAGTTTTGATTAATTAAGTGAATAATTTAAATTAGGATCTAATTAAAATAATTATTTTTGAATAAAGTAATATATTTGATTGAATAATATTTATTTATTTACCTAAATTATCAAGTTTTATCTTTCAATTATATCTATAATAAATTTTTCATTAATTAATTATATATGATAAATTGATAAACATTATTATATTAGTGCATTACTTATTATTGAATTAAATAATTATAAAATTACATTATAGTATGACAACCTCACGAGTCATGGTATATTAAAAAAGGTAAGTGTTTAATTAAAGATTCATAAAACATGTTAATATTACTATTTAATTTTATTCTTTTGTCACAAATTCACAATTAATGTTAATTTACTGCATTTCAATTCCGGTCTATTTCAGTTCCAGTTTCAGTTCTTTTTCTTGGGAACCAATCGGTTTTGGTTCCTTTTTCTGGGCTACTAAAGAAAACGAAAAATTAAAAAAAAATTAAAAATGAATGATATTAAATGAAAAAAAAATCAATTTAAAATGGAATGATATTATATTTCATGTTAAGTAATCGAAAATGAAATGATTTAATTTTTGGCTTTGCCCATCGAAAATTAAAAATAAATTTATGTTTGGGTTTGCCTGGACTCGAACTGGAGACCTTTAGTGTGATGGACTGACGTGCGAACGACACCACTGAACCTTAATATTTACTATTGCCGGCAATATTTTTTATCATCACCAACTTCATTTTCATATAAACTAAAATTATCCAGCAGAAATAGAATCTTGGCATTGTTGTTTTTTGCATAAAGATACCTTCAGAGATTGTAATTTAAACTTGGATTTGGTTGGGGTGCGCCAGGCCCTTGCAGTAGTGCAACGCATGGGCAACGCTTAAGGAACCCAGTAGCAAGCTACTGAAGTGGATCCTCCCCCTAAAAAGATAAATTTAATATCATGTGGGGCAATGTCCCACGTATCAGATATTAAACTGATAAGAACAGATACTACACTTGATCTTAGCCAAAAGGCCGAGAAAGGTATGCTTTGTTCTGTGGCTCAATTGTTCTTTTATAGCTCTACTCTGCATTGTGTCTTCTCTTGTTTCATCAATGTGGGAGAAACCAGGCCTGACATTGCTGCCTTTATTTATGCCAATTTATACGGTATTTTTTTGATTTGTTATTCTACTTATTTGGAAATAATAAAAAAGCTGTTTTTCATTAATTACATACTGAAGAACTAGTGGCTGATTTTCTGCTATCAGTAGAGTGACTCTGATTTCTCTCACCAGAACTGCTTTAAGGAATTTTGTTTAGGCAGCACTGCTGAACTGGACTTGAACCTTCTGGCTATTGCTAACCAAACAAATTTCGGATCGCAAAAAGTACCCATCAAATGACATGATAAATATTGGCATGGTTAAGGCATTACACAAATGATCCTTCAATAATCTGAAACAGAAACAGTGTATGTTTGCAGTTCCATCACCTCTAAAACCAAATCAAGGTTGTGTTACATTCACAGTCTTGCTGCACTTAAAAATTAAGCAAGATCTTATTAATATAAAGCAATTTTCACCATAATTGTCAAATCGTGTATTGTATTGTGTATTGAAAACCTAATTTTTCGAATTATGTATCGTATCGTAGGATACGTTATTTTAAAAATAATAAAAATTTTCTAAAAATTAATATCATCCTCAAGATTAATTAACAAATTTTGTGATATTATTAGCTTTAAATTATAGTACTACATAATTAAAATTAATCACAAAATTAAGAATTTATATCATTTCCTCTCAACCATTCATATTATTTTCAAGATCAATGTCAATATCTATATCTCCATTTATGTTATTATTATCATGCAAAATAGGCAACATATATTTTTTTTTTTTTGGTAACTGGGGTGTTCTAATCAGCTTACGCGCATCTCAACTAATCACTATGGTCCATTGAATACCCTACAAACCCAATGAATAGGTAAGACAATTATGCATTGAGATAGGTGGCCCTAAGGTTTGAACCCAAAAAGTTAAGGAAGGGAGCACACCTCCTTGACCACTAGGCCAACATCTTGGAGTTAATGGGTAACACATCTTCCTCTTCACTTTTTCCATGCAAAAAGGGTAGATTTGGGCAAGTTTTAATGAACTGAGTTAGGTGACTTAGATCCGACCTGAAATTTTTTTTGGACCTTAAACCCAAATTAATAAAATCATATCGCGATACTTATTAAAAGTTGTATCGTTGACAACTTATATCTTACTATACGTATATTATAAAATACTAATAACCATAATTTTCACGACTAAATTTGATAGGGAGCTGCACTCAAGAGAGAACAACCCCTCCAAAAATAGAGGTATGCCGTTTTAGAGTGGCGAGCACACGGTATTCTTTAGTAAAAGGCGAAAGAATAGTTCGCTTTGTGCTCATCACGCGGCTCCGTGCTTAGAATAAGGAATTTACTGCATCTTATATATCTAAGTTATGGGTCAGGATTCTACGTTCTAGGCCATGTGGGATTTGAACCATATCTACATATCTTGATTCTCCCTTAAGCTCATTGACTAATGACCATGCCAAGCAGCTGCCATAAAATGCACTAACATAAAATCAGAAATCTTAACTCACTAACATAAAATGCACTTCCTGGGAGGGTAAAAAACAGAATGAGAATGCTATAAAAATGCTCTCGCTAAAGTCAAAAACAGAGTAAGAATTTATGAAAATGCTCTTGCTGGGACAGTCATAAACAGAGGAGAACGTTATGAAAATACTCTTTCTGGGAGAGTCATAAACAGAGGAGAATGTTAGTGAAGATGGTCCAGACACATCTACCGCAAGAAAACTTATTAGTTCTGCAATCAAGTGTATAAACTAGTAAAAGCATGGCATTTTTAACAAACAGTTTAGATACTCCACTTTTATTTTGTGGTCAAGCACAATAAAACATTGTAGCTCTTTGTTTGTGATGCATGTGGACAATTGCTCTGGAAAGATGACCTCCTGTTAAAGTAATCATATATGAGTAGCCTAATGTTAAAAGCATTCAACAGGTGAACCTTCTTCAGTAAATCTAAAACAGAGCATGTGTGGAGTTCCATCACCAAGTAAATCAAAGTTGTGTAAAAATCAGGCGTGACCATAACACACGTAAACTAAGTAAGTTTCTGGTTCACAAAGCAATTTTCATTACAAGAACACTAAACTAGATTTGTTAAGGAGTTGCACTAAAAGAGTACAACCCCTCCAAAAATAGAGGTATGCCGCTTGAAGTGGCGAGCACACGGTATTCTTTAGTAAAAGGCTAAAGAATAGTTCGCTTTGTGCTCACCACACGGCTCCATGTTTTTTATAATCAGTTACTGCGGTTTATATATTTACGTTGTGGATTGAAGGTTTTATCTTTTCTAGTTCATGTTAGACTACGTGCATCTCTCTCTTTCAGTTAGTAAGGGCATGACATAACTCTCTTCTGCTGGGCTGATGAATCAGATTCTCTTTAATATTCGTTCACTTCTATGACCTTGAGGAGGAGCAAACACAATGCCCATGAATATTTTTTATTACCTTAAGAAGACAGAAATCTCATTGTATTAAACCGTGCTTTCTGGTCTACATTGCCTCTTCCCTCTTGTAGCCAACGTGGGATACTCTTTGCCTGACATCGCTTATGCTGTTCATACTGTTAGTCAATTCATTTCTGCTCCATGCTTCACCTATTATACT